CCCCCCCCCCCCCCCCTACACGTCTAAAATAATCTTCGTACAAGCAAACATTAGGTTTTCCTCCCATGACCCCGCCCACTCATGGAACACATGTGCGATAATCAGGGTAAAGCTCGGTTTCCATATAATCGCTCACCCTATCGGCGACAGTTGCCGACAGTTATCGGGAAGATTGAACCTGGTTCAACTTTTCCGAATGCGTTGCAGACGCAGACGAATCAGGGTGCGTTGCTAGCTGCCTTGCGCCATCGGAAAGGTACGGTACCCCGATTCGTCTGTGAACCACAACTGACACGACTGTCGACGATAGGGTGAGCGATTCTTGGAAACCAAGCTAAAATTCTGGATCAACTCCTGAGAGGTCCCTATTCTCAAAATTGTCTATTCCCTCAGCCCCAACCATGGTGGGGGCAGTGAGGTGGACCCTCACGCACCCCCTACCGCCAAATCCTTCATCCGCCCTAGGGGTGTCTAAGAGAGGAGGAGCATACGAGGGAGCATAACTGCGTCGGGAGGAAGTCAATAATTTTGTAGAGAAACACTGCTTTGAAAAAGCATTTTTACCGTCCGAGAGTTCCGAGCGTCTACAGGGGCGGATTTAGGGGGGGGGGCCGGCCCGGCCCTGGCCCCCCTTTTGGGTGGTAAAAAAAGAAAAAAAAAAGAAAAGAAAGAGAGAAAAAGGAAAAAATGATGGCCAAGAATGCCTCAAATGTCATGTTCGGGCGTCTAGAACACAAAAATTTCGGACCCCCTACGACAGTTTTGTCTCAATCGGCCCAACTTTCGGCCCCCCTTCCGGCCCCCCCTTTTGGACATTTCTGGATCCGCCCCTGGTCTAGAGGGGCCTATTCTTAAAATTTGCTCCAAGGGCCACTAAATTATATATAAATCATCAAAGAAAGGTAAATACTGTGTTCGAATAAAGGACATAATAATACATCGGGTTCGAGTCCCGCCAGAGGCATTTTATAGATGTGTATAAGAGACAGGTACAGTATACCAATTTTTCTCTCAAACTTTATGTCCTATCGTGTTGTTTGTGTTTTAAGTTAACTTTATTTATTTATTTTTTATTTTATTTATTTTTTTTAATCGTACAGGTTTGGAATATTTTAAAATCCTGAAGGGGTCATCCATTATTTTCATCATTTTCACGCGCGTACAAAACGTACGCTGGGAGAGGGAGTTGAAAGTGTGTGTACGCTTATCAAAAAGTACAAAAATAACGATTTGGAAATGTTATCCTACGTTTTTGTACCTAGCAATTCACGAGTAAATGTTAAGTTTATCAATTGTTTATACACAGCCTCATCTTGCATCCCTGATTAACGATGTGTTGGTTAAAGCATTGTGTACTTATAAACAATTTCGAAATACAAGGGAAATGCACTCTAGCCAGGGGCATAATTATAGTTATTAAAATTAATACGGATTTGAAATTCGTAAGACACGATAATTATAAGAAAATGCAAAGTTTTGCATCGAAATTATAATATTATTCTGACCTTTAGCATCCCATCAACAATATAATTTTTAAATGTATACAATTTTGAAATATAATATCTTACTCCAATAATATCTCCGTGTGTACCATCAAGACTATTACCTCTAAATATTTATTCAGCTTTATGGCACTAGGTTCAAGGATATGCCAAACATTGAAATTAATCACGCTTTAAAGTGGCAAACCCATCATAAGACAACAAGGGCTGTATGGACCAGTACACCGGGTAAACCCCAACTCATCTCGAAATATGTACTGGGTTCTTTAAAGTGCACATAAGCCAATTGGTGTACACTGGTCCTACGGTAGTCCTTATCCGAGAATACTTGTTTCACCTCCAGAACCATAGGCGAGCGTGCAGTTCGAACCAGCGCTGATGCTATTAGCTGTAGTTTGTTAGCGCCCTGCCTTAACCGCTCGGCCATTCGACTCGCCCACTATAAAATAATAATGAATACTCATTTGTATGTTACTTACTTTTGAAGATGAAGTTTTTGTTTTCCAGAAGAGAGCAAATACAGATGATGACAATATGATGCCGATAACGAAACCCAGAAAGGTCATTCCAACAAGAAGACCAGTGCTTGAACCCGAATTGTATTCTAATAAACAACGAAATGTAGATTTTTATATGAAATTTTTACTTTGTATTTTTTATCTGAGTTACGCATAAGCTAACTTTAAAAGAAGATGATGAAAACATAATCGTTAATTAAAAACACTAAAACATTTTTTTTTTTCAAATACTAAACCAGAACTAATTGTAGGCCTAATACATACAGTTAAATTTACAGATATATTAGGTTAGGTATAAATTTCTATCGTTAGCAGTTGCATTGATATAGTATTTTTTACAAGTAGCCGGTACATCATCTTGTTGAAAAGACATTTTCAATTGTTAAAGTTCTTCCTTTAGCAGTACGGAGTGACGTGTGGCTAATATTTTTAATATAACAAGTTGAACACTGCGTTTTCGTCATATATATTGACTGAACTATCGAACATTTAAAAAAATATCAATAATATAATCTAAGAAACAGTTGCTTAAGTTTTCTATTCATTTTTATTTACAATATTCTGTATTTAGAGATATAACTATAATTAAAACACGTACCTGTAGCCGAAGTACTTCTTAATAAAGAATCCAAATCTATTTGTATTCAAAACACAAGATTACATTAACTATTCTTTCAGCAATTATCTGGTATGGAGTTTTCAAACATGTATTTGTAAACACAATTTTTATGTAAATTATTTTTAAAATAGTACTAGTACACGTTAGATATAGTAATAAATTAATTCAAATAAAACTTACACAACTTCTTAAGTCAAATAAAACTAATTAACTGAAAAACGTACGAAAAAAATCGCTAAACCGTAATATAAGCATTTGAAAACATTGATTGATGAATAATGACATTTGACCTATTTTAATCAATCAATCACTCAATAATTAATAAATGATCAATCGATCATTAAATCACTGTTAGATTCAGAGAGGCCTACATATTTCATTAAAATATCGATACATCATTGTAATTTGTATCAACAGTTCATAACATACTAAATAAGTTTGTACATAGATGAGGGCTAGTCAGTAGAATTTCCACAGGATGTACTTGTGAATACTTACTTGGGGCCTTATAAGTTTACAAACGATAAAAGATATAAAACTTACTTAATTTACTCATCTAGCATTAAAAATCTAACATTGCGTTGAATATTAATTCATTTCATTATCATTTCTGTATTTCAAAATCACACTCTCAGTGAAACACTGAATTGCGGCAATTTTTACATAAGTTCAAAAGTTTACAAAATTGTCATAAAAGCAACATAAAGTGAAGAATTCATTATAAATTGCATTAAAACAGACAAAAGTACGATAAAACAATAAAACTTTGAAATTGGAAAAATTTAATACACAGTAAATTTAACCCATAATTCACTACATTAAAATAATAAAGGGACTAAAAAGCTCTTTATTATTGCGTTATGTTTTTTTTTTTTTTTTTTTTTTTTTATCGAATTTTTTTTTTTTATTGTATGCAGTTTAAGTACCAACCGTAGGTATAATAGGCCACATCTTATTTAAAAATAGAAACCTATATATCTGAAATCATGTGTAGATAAATATTTACACATTAAGAAGTCGTTTAAAATTAGGTATTTGGCTATTGAATTCATACATTTCGAAATAACTTATCGAAAAACAATGAAACTAGTTGTGTGCGAAGGGTCGTTAGCATCATTACGCTAACAGATTTTATCATTTCTAGATCCTAATTTCTGCATGGTTTTGATTCTTTTCCAAAAGCATATCGATCTATAAATCCAGGATACTGATGATGGGTGATAATGACTTTAGAATACGTTATTGTAGTAGAATATTAATGATTTGTTCAGTACTCACGATTAACCAATGACAGGGTTCCTGTATTGTCACTCAGCTTCCCTTCGTCCCCACTGTAAGCTGCATTCTCTGCTCGACATTGGTAGTCTCCTGTATCTTTATAGTTAACTCTGCTGATTTCTAACGTTGTATCTGACTGTGGATACTTCTTAGTATCTGACACATCAAGTACAGTGCCATCTTTAATCCATGTGATGGTGATAGGTGTTGGAACACCATCTGGTAAAGGACATGTGAATGTTGCATTTTCATTTTCATTAACATGTTTTTCTTTTGGTTCCAAAACTGGTGCCTTGAGATCTGTAATTAATTAATTGAATAATGTAACAACTATACTAAATAGCGAGTATTATTCCATGGCATCATTATAATATCCTATATCCTCGTTACTTTCAATGTACAGTATACATAATTTATCTACCAATTTTGTGTGTTTCCAATCGACTTTCCGACTGTGAAATCCGAACCAAGTGACCGACTATAGCCTCAGCCAGAGTACAGGAATAAAATTGCTGGTGGGTTTATGGGAAGAGTTTTCATGGCTTAGTAATCTATTCGACTGGTTATTGAACTTGTGGGATGGAGTTCCAACAGCCCAGTGACCATTTTCTGCCAGCCATGCTTAGGTAAACTCAGCTTGCACTGTTGACGAGATGTGAAGTGGTGGTTTCATGTTTTAACCCTATGATTTCTAAATACAACTTAATTAAAAATAAGTTCAGCAGTTGTACCTGGAACTATTGATTGATTGATTGATTGAAGAAAACATATGGCATAACAAAGTTATTTGTTATAGGGAAATTAATATTTTTTGTTAGTCTGACGACCTCGTCTAGGTCTGTCATCACACGGTGTGTGATGGAATTGCCATGACCCCAACCCTATCCAGCGAAGCCACTGTTTTCAATGTCATCATTAAAAAAAATCATCTTGTGTCTCCACCTATCATTGGAGTTGAAGCAAATTGAATTACCTCTGCGGTGAGCATTGTAAGGTACTCATTGTACTTCATAAATAAAATAACCGGAAAATGTAAAGTAAGTACTCACAGTAGACTATTAAACTTGATAAACGTTGTGCAGTGTAGAACCTTTCACATAGGTAGTACCCTGTATCCTCTACTTTAACATTAGATATGATAATGCTTCCATTTTTACTTAAGTATCTCCCACTGCCTTCCGTCTTTATGCTGATTTTAGTTACAGTAATCTTCCACTGTGTTTCACCATCTCCATAATCACGCTTGAACCAAGATATGTGCAACACATTTTTCTTTGCTAAGGTTGAATTAGACAAACACGTATTCGTCATCAGTGCATCTTCACCTACTTTTGCAAGGTGGACTGTCATACATTCAGAAGTCTTACCTGGAACTACTATAACCAAAAGTATGAATAAATTAAATAACTTTCGAAAAATATTACAGTGCTGCTATTTCGCAGGGCGAAGAAGATTGAGTTGAACTTTTTTGGAACAGAAATATTTTATTATAACTGGGGGATATGTGGCATTTGGCAGTAGGGGGTGCGTGAGGCTCCACCTCATTGCCACCACCATGGTTGGGTCTGAGAGAATAGAAAATTTTGAAAATAGGGACTTCTCAGGAGCGGATCCAGAGTTTTAGCTCGGTTTCCATAGAATCGCTCACCCTTATCGGCGACAGTCGTGACAGTTGTGGTTCACAGACGAATCGGGGTGCCTTCCCGATTGCGCAGGGCAGCTAGCAATGCACCCTGATTCGTTTGCGTCTGAAAAGTTGAACAAGGTTCAACCTTCCCGACAACTGTCGGCGACTGTCGCCGATAAGGTGAGCGATTCTATGGAAACCGAGCTTTACCCTGATTATCGCACATATATTATGGGATCCTTGAGTGGGCGGGATCATGGGAAAATAACGTAATGTTTGCTTGTTCCGTCGCTGGAAGACTATTCTAGACGTGGTGATGGTGGGGGACAGGGGTGGTTTGCGGTAGTTTTGGGGTTCTCTTAGCTTCGAAAATTTTGTTTTCTGGATGCTGAGAAATGCACTTACGTGCATTACGAGACCTCTATTGATGAATGAATACAGGCTGAATTCATAATTTCCCCCCATTTTACCATGGACAATTAATAATTGCGATGATGAAGATAATGATGATGTGATGATGATAAGAAGAAGGAGGCATCGTAGCAGGTGACGACAGGCTCCTGTGCAAGGTTAATTGACAGGCCCTTTGATATGCACGGAAGCGGAAAGTTTAATATGTTTCATGTTGTTTGTTGAATGGTCTTTAATGATATTATATTCTAATATGACCAAAACATAAGGTAGAACACTTTGTCACCTACAAAGTTCAGACCCATATAGGCCTACACTTATAAACATTTCCTTAGGTCTAAATCATAAGGAAGTCCGCTTTATATCCAATTTCAGGAAATTAACATTTTATGCATGCACCGACGTGGGAATTTTTTTTTTATGTTGTTTGTTGAGTGGTCTTCTTTAAAAAATATTACAGTCTAATATAACCACAACATAAGGAAGTCCATTCTTTAAGTTTTTAATAGATAGCACAGAGAATTATGATTGTTTATCAAAATGATTATACACATGTTAAATCCAATTTCAATAAAAAAAAAATACGTTTTCGGTGCACGCGCCGACGGTGAAAGATTAACCTAATAATGTTGTTAATAATGCGGTTCTAAAATTATCCTTATGACTCTCATAATAATTTCATATTTCGAAACATTGTTTTGAGTATATGATCACGTTCCATGATAGATTATATCCACAGAGTGCCCCTAAGTCAAAATGTCAAAATTGAATAAATTTCGATTTTCCGATTCACGACAGACTGAGTAGATTAGTCCTACTGGTTAAAATGTAAAAAATTAAGATTTTATTTTTAAATCACAGAAAATCACAAATTTGTATTCAGTACATTCTCGACTGTCTTGGAAATGTGGACCTTATCAAATTTGGTTGGGTGCGTTATACACACTCTTAGTTACACCCCACCTACTGGATATAGGGCCTGGAAACTTTAAATTTTACCTGCCAATTAATGCAGTATTATACGCTTATTTGATATCATCCCAATTTCTCAGTATTTTGTTTTTAAATTCCACTTCCAACGCTGTGTGATTTGAAATTTACATACCATTCACGTCGTTGCTCTTCTTTCCGTGTTCATTTTCAGACTCTCAGTGCTCGGTGGTCAATTTTGACTTTCTTTTTAGATGTACTGTATCAAAGTGTATTAAGTATTAAGCTCTAGGTCTACAATTAGGCTACTGACTCCATTAAAGACTTGTTTTTTGTATTTTTGTTTCTTTGTTTGTTTTTTTAACGAATACTGTTCGTTGAAATAATTAAATAATAATTCATTAATCAAAAAGTAATAATTAAAATAATATGTTTTCGCTTTGGTGTCATTTTGGAATAACAAAATATAATAAAATTATATATGCCTTTCAATAAGGTTATAAGAATCAACACACACGTATAGCCTATCCTCCCTGTGATTGATTTTGTATTAACCAGACACTGTGACATAAATCATAATAATAATAATAAAAGAACTCAACAGCGTACCGTACGTTATCGCGCAGCCAATTTAATTACAGTCCCTCTTTGATTAATACTTAGGCAATGCAAAACGCTTATTTTGTTTATGTATTTTTGTCTTTGGTTTAGGTAGGAGGCATTTCTGACAGAAAGAGTTGGAATTCGCCAGACCACCAGGCACTGCTGTCATATATTGGCGAACGGTGCGAAGAGGTCTGGATCCGCGCCTGCATCTAGGTGCCCGGAAATTGCACTCCCATACCTTACAACAATACAATACAACAATTGATTTTCTTAATACAATTTAAGGGGTGCGACCGCACCGTCTGCTCCCCCTCTGCATCCGCCCCAGTATAATAAACGATGGTTATTAATTGCTCTATGGTTAAAATTTAAAGCAAGTTGAATAATTCACCTATTTATCTATACATTCAAAAATTCTAGTATTAAGTACGTAGAACTAAAGTAAATAACAGAGGTAAATAAAATGTCATATTTACCAAAATTCATCAACGATACTATACAAGCAAAGTACAGTTTACAATATAACATATTATACATCGTGCTATGCATAATTGGTGTCAAATGCACGTGAACTATTGCGCCTTAACAGTACGCACCTCTGCCTCAGATGATAGAATGGAGACTAAAAATGACTTCCTGTTGAAGTGCAATAGGCCTACAGTATTTAACTTGTTTTTGTTGTACCGTATCAATCAACACGGACCTAGGTCAGATTGCCGAAACCAAGTTAGCTGAATGCCATATTGCCGAGTCCCCTTTGCCGATAGCCAGATTGAGACTCAAAATACAATGAATCCCTCATTGCCGAAACCCAGTTTGTCGAATTCCAGTTTGCTGAATGTTTAAAAGTATTAATTATAATAATTCCATTGGCAATATCTGAAACTCAATAATGCTTCGAGATGGCATCATGGAATCTAGCAACTTTGTAATCTTAAAGGCACCTTCCAGGGTACTTGGTCTTGGGCCTCGAGATACAGTGGAAAAAATCAACACCCATTTTGCCAATGTTTGTTGTCAGCTCTCCGCCCTTGACACAACAGGACTTACCTGCATATTTACCGTCTTGTGAACCTCCGACGATCTTTGTTGGCCAAGTTCGTGCTGAACTTGACCAGTTAAAAATTGGTAAATCTGGGCATCCGGATGATGTACCGGTGAAGCTTATTTTAAACAGTTCATTTTCGAGATAGCCTACATAAAGTCATATTATAGTAGCTCGATGCCTATCAAATAAGTAATAAAAATTCGTCATAATTCGTCAAATATCCGTGGCTGCCTGGAACCCCACCGCTTTGGCATAAGCAGGAATGTAGTCTAATGAAACTTGTTTATCATCTTTATACCTTCCGACGAAAATATCACCGAAAAAAAAAATAAAACGACAATTGAATGACCAACAAAGACAACTGAAGACAATAGGTTGTCATTAGAAGTTATTCTGTATAACTTTATTCGGAAAATTAATCCCAAAATCGAATTGCCGTCGCCGGCGTTGTCAGTGACGTCGTATGATTTGTGTGCGATTTTTACCAATTAACTCCTAAGTAAAAAATAGTTGAGCAATGTAGTACCTTGCAAATCAGCCCAGAAACCAGGTAGTTTGTTGTTTGTTTATTGGTAGCGGCCTTTCGCTGCCAAAAATAGTTGGCAGTTGCGTCCCCGGTGACATCGTGAGGGCATGGTGAAGGCTGGTTACGATTTGGTGGTACATCGATTTAGTATATGTTTTAGTATTCATCTGGTCATGTAAGTCAGTGGCGTATCTAGATGTCTTGAAATGAGGGGGGAGGGGCGAAGCTGATATGGGGAGGGGGTCGATGATCAGTTGAGGGGCGCTATTTTTAACTACTTGACCGTGATTTGAAACCAGTGTCAGTATAATCTTAGATAAGCATGTGGTTACCATAAGCAAGAATTTAGTCCAATGAAACTGTTTATCATTTTGATACCTTCCGACGAAATTTGACCCTACCAGCGTCACCACGGCGTCTCCACCGATCGATCTAACGTGACGTTGTTATGTGGGTGTTTTTTAGATTATAGAGAATAGTAATATAACCGAAAAAATAGATAAAATGACAGTTGAATGACCAACAAAGACAATTGAAGACAATAGTTCGTCATTAGAAGTTATTTAGTATAACTTTATTCGGAAAATTAATCTCAAGATCGAGTTGCCGTCCCTGGCGTGGTCAGTGACGTCGTATGATTTGTGTGCGATTTTTACCAACTAACCCTAAAGTAAAAAGTAGTTGAGCCATGTAGTACCTTGGAAATCAACCCAGAAACCCGGTAGTTTGTTGATTGTTTATTGGTAGCGTCCTTTCGCTAAAAATGTTTTGGCAGTTGCGTCCCGTTGACATCCCCTTTTCAAATGTTAAAAAATAACCAACATAAATTTTAAGTATTAAAGTGCCATTCTCCAACTTTATCTCATGCAGTCACAAACATGACGGGGCTCAGGTGGATATAGTAATTTTCCTAGTTTTTATGTATGACATTGCCATTTTCCGGCATCAAAATTTCCCAATTTTTTATATTTCCTCACCTCCAAGATAGGCCTTTGTGGATATAGTAATTTTTGTTGTTTTTATGTATTTGCCATTTTCCTGCATCTAAAAGTCTCTAATTCTTAAAATTATTTTACCACAGCCTCAACCATGGTGGGCTGAGATAGATGGATTAAAATGTTCATACATTTTAAGTATCCGAGTGTTGTTTTGGGGCATCTATAAAGTCTCAAATTGCAATTGACTCATCTGCGCCCCAAAACCATGGTAGGGCTCAGGTGGATATCGTAAATTTTTTACTATTCAAGTGCTTTTTTGTGCATCTAACGAGTCCCAACTTCTCAAAATGTTCTCATCTGAGCCCCAACCATAGTGGGGCTCAGTTGAATATGGTAGTTTTTAGAATAGTAAGTACTTAAATTTCATTTTCGAGTACCTAATTAATTAATTGGGTGGGTTTTTTTTACTCAATTTGTCAAAAACATTATTATTTAATAGGTAAGGTACCGTAAGTTCCATTTTGGGGCATCCAGTGGTATAAAATACTGAAATTTTTGCGTCACCGCCAACCTCGATGGTACTGACGTGATGTGGACTCTCATTACATCAGCACCCCCTTCTTTAAAATATGGATACGCCACTTTGCTGAAAACAATAGTTAAGACAAATATATTTCCATTCGTTTTGTTGTTCATGTAAATTTCTGATAGGTTACCGTATTACTTTAAAACAATGCTAAAAACACAGTGTCAATACGAACATACAACTTATAGAATTTACTAATAGATCAATAACTTTCCAATGATAACCACATGAACTACATTACTCCACCAAATTTTAGAAACATAGTATTGTACAAATAAACGGCATCATACTTTTTATGGTAATCATCCATTTTTGGCGCACATTGATCATACAGTGCTCCTATCATTCCTATCATTATCAAAATCGAACGAACAATGAACAGATCATAATTATGCCTATACAAAAGAAAATTATTAGATCATCACTCCAGCCCACGTCAACAAAATTGGGAAATATTGATGCGAAAATTTAAAAAAAAAGTTTTTCTTTTTCTTGGCCGCATCATTTTTTCAACAGCATAAAAAACAATGTAATTTTGTGATTGGAAATACGTTTTCTTTCAAAAAAAAAACCAATAAAAATTAAACCTGTTTTTATACAATATTTACAATTATTCTTGCCAAATAAAAAAGTCCCTCCCTTATCTATTAAAAGAAGCAGTTGTTCTGATTAAAAAAAATAGTGATCTAATAATTTTTCCTATGTGCCTTAAATTGTCTATAGTGGGACACAGTGATAAACTATAAATATCTTGTTTAATATTTTCAAAAAAAATCCTATTCTTTTTCATTGTGTCCAATGGTTGCCAAATTGGCTATAGTGGGACACAGTGATGAAGTACAACTGTCTTCTTTAATATTTTCTAAGTTAATCCTTTTCTTTTTCATTGTGTTCAATGGCTGCTAAGAGCACATGTAAAAAATTATTAGATCATCACTCTTAAAAAAATAAACGATGAGGGAGGTCGGTTTTTGTTTGGTTTTTTTTTTTTAAATCAGAACAATTCGTTATTGCGCTTTTGTTTTTATGGATGAGGGAGGGATTATTTATATTTGGCTAGTAATAGGCCTAGTAAATATTGTATAAAAACTTGTTTAATTTTATAGTTTTTTTAAAGAAATGCATCTGAAGTCATAAAATAGCATTGTGTTATGCTGTTAAAATAATTGAAGCAGCAAAAAAAAAATTTGTTTTTATTCTCACATCAATATTTCAAGAATTTTTCCCGGGGTGGGGAGTGATAATCTAACAATTTATTCAGTGCCCTAAATTGGCTATAGTGGGACAGAGTGAAGAACTATAAATATCTTTTAATATATTCTTTCTTATTGTGTCTAATGGTTGCCAAATTGGCTATAGTGGGCCACAGTGATAAAGTACAACTGTCCTCTTTAATAAGTTTTTTTTTTTTAATTTTTTTAAATTTACCATTTTATTCATTTAATCATACATTACATTCAAAATGAAAATAAACAAAAACAATTAAATAAGTGCCCTTCTTTTCAATACATAGAATAGTATACATATAACAACATTGAACATTTTTTTATGATCCAACAATTTTTTTCAGTGCCCTATATTGACTATAGTGGGACACAGTGATAAACTATAAATATCTTGTTTAATATTTTCCAAGATAATCCTATTCTTTTTCATTGTCCAGTGGTTGCCAAATTGGCTATAGTGGGACACAGTGATACCACAAATACAAATGTGCGTGACGATATTTTATTGCGTTAGAATTGTGATTAAAAAATGTATATTGAATCACGCACTGAGTATTCAATATATTTTCACGACAGGTTGGGCAAAATACATATAGGCCCCCTAATTGATTTTCCTGACGCAAATCCAGGTATTGTCTATCGTCACAAAAATAACATTTACCATTCAATAATGAAACAGTCATCGACCTACTTGCAGTGAATTGAATGTAAGATGTATTAATGATGTTATGATGATCTGAAGTGTTTAAAACGTACATAATAATAGTTCAACCAACTTTAATACCACAAACACAAATGTGCGTGACGATATCTTATTGCTTTAGAAATGTGATTTCAAAAGAGTAGTGCATCGTATAAGGGCTTGTTTTGTTGTTGTTTTTTGACTTGCAGCGTTTGGGAAATAGGTAATAGGTAAATTGTAATGAATATAATCAATAATATATAGCATCTAAAACCTATTATTATTGAAGGGTCCTTTTAAAGTTTAAATAGGATTTTTTTTAAAGTTATATTTTTAGATCATTAGACCTATTGAACGAGCCCCCAATAGCCCCGGGCCCCAGTGCTGTACACTGACTGCACTGTCCATACCTACGCCACTGGACCTAAGTATTATTAGTGGTTACATAACGTTTGCTATGCACTGTATCATGCGCTATAGAAGTGGAAGACCATAATGTATTGGAAATATACCTCTCTCTCTCTCTCTCTCTCTCTCTCTCTCTCTGATAGGGCCTACAGTACAATCAGTTTTAAAAGTGTAATGTATAGGATAGTGTGGATTTAAACATTTTCCTAATGGTAATGTTCAAAATAAGTGTCAAGGAAAGTAAATATGATTGTTGGAAAAAAAAGGTCAACATTTTATTTTGAATTCTCACCATGACCTTCGCCTGGGCGCAGTGGGCGAAGGTCTGGATCCGCGTCTAGCTAGCATGAATTTTGTAAGCCAGGACCCATAGTATTTTGTTACGTTTCTTCACAGAGTGGGGTTCGTCCGAACCCCCTGAACCCCCTGGATCCGCCACTGTAATGTGCTAATAGTTAATATAGCTTTTAACGATGCGAAGCGAAGACGAAGTCCCCCAATTTGGTGATTAAATCGGCAATGCCCTGAGAAAAAATCAAGCAACAAATGGAAATGCTTAAAAAAGAAAGTGCATGTTTTACTAGAGTGCACGAGAAGCACACACACAAGACGAGTGACCATTATTTTTTGTTCACGGTAAACAAAGGGGGGTGGTTAGCCACCCTATTCACCACCCCCCCCCCCTAGATCCGCCACTGATTGGGGTTTTGTATTTTAAAAAAGCAAACTATATTTGTAATTGAATTATATAATTTTGTAATTGTATTTGTAGATTTACGATTTAGGCCTATATTTGTAAATGGGAGCAACTTTAATTGTGTAATTGTTAATCGCCATAGGAATTTAAATTATTTTTATGTATGTAGGTGTGTCGGAAGGTGCACAAATGAATGGTGTAGTAGTGTGAGACAGGGGCGGTTTTGCCACTATTTTAAAAATATCAATGCATATTAATGTTATGTGCTGCTCCTTTATCTATTCTGGATCTGTTGTGTGCCCCCTCCCCCTTTGAAAAATTTTGGATCCGCCCCTGTGACAAGTATCAACAGATACCAATTTTCTTCTAAAGTTCAAAACCCACTGTTTTTTTTTTTAAACTTGTGGAAAGGATAACATTGGCTAAGTTAATATATAACTTAGCCAAATTTTAAGATATATCATTATTTTTATGAATGTGGGTATGTTTGCTTGTTTATTTATTTATTTACTCTAAGATAGAGATGGCAGGCTATAAAGGAAGTTCCTATTCCACATAGGATTCACTTACCATATACATTCAGAACAAATAGAACTTTATTATTTGTAAACCTAAAAATCCATTAAATACAACTTGCTATACATAAGGCTATATGCGTCTTCCCCGGAACCGAATGGGGCTTTCCCCTGCCTCCCAGGCAAAGCTTGAGCAAATTGTTAGCTCAAAAATAGAAATAATAGAAATTTTAAAGTAATTCGTATATAACTCGCACAGGTTGTTGTTCGCACAAGTGGATCTTCTTCC